TGTCTAGTTTCTAACTCAACAGTCACTGATATGATTGTTAAATCTCTAGCTTAAAGTTTAAAAATGATCTTGTGTGACTTTCAAGACCCAAGGCTTGGTCTGTTCTGATTTTTTTTTATAATTTTTTTTTTACCTCTGGTCTCGGAGCTGCAGCTAAGTTAAAAGATTATAAACAAGATTCAGATTGTTAGTTAACATCTAATACTATTAAGATAGATATTTAAAGGGTAAGGGTAAAATGAGCAGCAGCTGCATTAGATAAGCTGGTCCTGTCCTGGAAGGGACATCTGTTTGGATGGGAGGGGGTCCAGCCATGCCCTGCCAGAGCAAATGAAGGATGAGCTCACAGATTATGCTGCTTTTCCAAAGAATTTCAGCTCCAACCTTTGCTGACTTGCTGTAGCTCCCCCTGGAACCACAAGAGGCTTCGCGCATCGTTTTTAATTAGCTATGCAGCAGCACTCCAGCTCGTTTAATGCTGCAGCCACTTCGACAGTTAATTACTTAGTTTATTGTCAGTAATTTCTGTCCAACACTCTTGGCAGGGAGTTAGAAAATTAAGTTTTCTACATTTTTTGTAAGATCTTGGATGTTTTGAGGTAAATGTGAGAGAAACATTTACATTATTATTATTTTTAAATCCACAGTGCTTTTTGTATCAAATTTTTCTTTACATGTACAGAAGTTTTTAACTACTATTGAAATTGGAACTTGTTCCTCTTTAGGTTTAAAGGTGTGATTGACTGAAAAACTATTTTATAATTATTATTTCTGATTATAATCGGTCACTCAGAGTTTTCCATGCAGGCTAAACATGAAACAGTCTTCTTGAAAATAAACCGTGAAATGTTAGGTTTTGAAAATCCTCACATATCTTTGTCACACTGTGAATTTGCATGCATGGCCTCGCCCATCTTGACTCGCGCCCGCCCACGGTACAGCTTTTATTTTATTTTATTGCAGCGAGTGTCTTGGTGATAGTGACTTTGCAACATGGCTGAAGGCATTCTGTTAGCCAATCAGAAGTGAGGTGTGTGCATATCATTAATAATAATTAGTAGTCTTGCTGTTTTCAGCCCACCTCTGCACCAGCTATCCTCTGCATCTCAGAACAGGAACATCATAGCTTTTTTAATGACTCAAAAGGCATTGGTTTACATAGAGAACACTGCAAATGTATTGACAAATGAGTAAACCACACCTTTAAGGCTAAACAAAGTGTAATTCATCATTTTAATCATTAATTCTGAAGTTCTCATCTGTACATCTGAGCTACTTTACCTCTGTATAATGCTATTTCAGATTCTTTATATTATATTTATCTTGATAAAGCCACCATCGTCTGTTTCATGCATGTCTTCTAATGCAGCATTAGGCAGATGGATTCTGATATTTTGTTTACTCAGACTCATTGGCCCCCTGCAGGATACGTCCCCAAGGCTGCGTTAGATGTACTTCATTTACTTTTACCATCTCTTCTTTTGAAGTAAATGAGAGAAAGATAACATTAGCATTGGCAAGGTCGTTTGCTGTATCAGACTGCAATTACTGAATGTACAGGAAAGATAAAGGATATGGGGTAATCTGTGTTTTTTTTAGAATGGAGTTATTACTTTTAAAGATTATAGAAATCTGCTGGTATCTTGACCCTGATAAGATAACCCATTAGTTCATCAATGAGATCACAATACATATTTCTGTTTTTTCTATCTACAACACATAAGAAGTTTCCACAGAAGCCCACTTTAAAATATCTGAACCATCTCTTTAAACAGTTTC